GTTATTTACTGAAAAAAGAATCACAAATCTATGATTAAAAGCTGAAAAGCAGGAATCTGAGATGAGCTAATTTAGCTGTTAGTGCTAGCATCTGGCTAACAGCTAGTTAACATAATTAGTAGTTTGGTTTACCTGCTCATCTAAATTTAATTTAATCTGATAAAAATTTAATCTGCCTGAATTCATGGGCGTTAGCTACTTTCCCAGATTTAATTATCTGTTGACCTAGTATTTGACTAACAGATCTGCTAGTTAACCTGATTATTAGTTTGGTTTACCTGCTAATTTAATGGTAGTTTAAGAATTAGCTGCACTCACAGTATTAATCTTGTCTAATTTAYCTGTTAGATCGTTAGGTAGCCTGACATAAAATACTGTATTTAGTTATCCAAACTGTAGCTAATCAAAGCTAATCTGAGCTAACCTGGTTCTGGTAACTCTAAGTTATTTTCTTATATTTTAGATCATATTTTTTATTCCAAAATTTGAGTAAATTTGGACTAAATTATAATTTGAACAATTATCTAATTTGACACCATTAATTTTAGCCGCTAATAAAACTAGCATTGACTGTAAGTTAACCTGATTTAGTTTGGTTTATCTGGTGATTTAAATGGGTTCTAATCAGATATAATTTGGTTGAGATTTTGATCCAATACATTTTTACATTTTATCTTTTAATTTAGCTGCTTAATTAACTGGCTAAATGTGTAACCCAAGCAGTAGCTAACGAGAGCTAATCTGAGTTACTTGCTAATCACCACAGGTTAATGTAATTCACCTGATTTAGCATTTAACCCAATAGTTTAAACCATTTTTAGCTTCTAATTCAAAGTTTATAGCTAACTTTTAATTTGAAATGCTGAAAGGACACCATCAAGTACAGCTACTATTACAACAGTTTTTTGTTTCAATTTGTGTATTTTTTAAATGACAAATTAACGTGTTTTTATTGACTAAGTGTTTAAGGATGTAGCAGGACTTCAAAGACGAGCTAATCCTGATATAAAGTCTTCAGTGGTTCACCTAAACTATTGACCAACCCTAAAATCGTATTTATCTGAGAATTAAAACGTGATGAACTCAAAGCTGCCACATGTGTCATGTTTCTTTAGTGGCTTATTATTGGGGGTTTGCTAACTATGCTAACTTAAGCTCCAGTTAGCTGAGCTATAGCCCTAAACTAAATTTGAACCAGGTGATTATTATGTTTTTAGAGTKTTATGTTCATTTCCTGAAACAGTATAAAAGAGTCTTTGAGCCGATCTCATGCAGACCATCAGTCAGCAGCAGGACAGATACTGATCTACACCATGGTCACACCAGAAACACACCTGGATACTTTCACCTGATGTTGACTTTATAACGTGTTAGCTAGCATGTTAGCAGGCTAACTAGCTATAGCTGTAATACAGTATCARTTTAAGATATAGTTAGTTTTGTAATTGATTGAATGTAGTGCTGATGGAAAACACTGTGGTCACATTTTTTAACTACTTCCTGTGAGAACGGCTGGTGTGACCGTCGCCTGCACGCTGTCACCGCGAACATTATGACCGCGGAGCAGTCGGTCCAACACAACGGGACCACCTCGGTGTAATAAAAACAGAGAATCTGTCCGCGGTGAAACGGGCTCGAGGCTTCGGCTCATCTTATTGATTTTGTGGCGTTCGGCTCGGTGTTGCGTCGCACGAGAAAAGCAGCTCGAGGCTACATGGGAACCCTAATATACAGCCTGAACGTGTGTCAGCACCCAGCACTCACATAATGCTGTCTAGGCCTACTAAACATCAATAATGCATGGCTGACTTTAATACTATGTAATTCCATGATTGTAAGTGGGCAAGTATCCATCAAAATTTCATCATTGTCTTCATTTCGGTTCCTCGGCACGTTGAATATTTCATGTTATTGACCTCTGGTCGGGGCTGCGTGTGATTGGACGAGGACTCCACGTCTGCAGAAGTCCCAAAGGAAACCAGGGCGCCGTTCAGTGATGAAGCAGTAAAAATCCCATTTGGGTGTTATTTTTTTWAATTATTTATTTTTTCTCGTGATGAATTGAAACTGGTTCCTTGAGGTTGTGTTTTCAGTATGGAGTCGCTCTCATTCTTCTTATTTTTTATTTCTTTTCTTTGATTCACTTGGAGTTTTCTCTTGGATTTTTTTTTCTTTTCTATGTTTCTTCTGTTTTCCGTTAAAACGCCAGCCAAGTCAGTATGGTAGGCAGGGTGGTCAGGACCAGGACCAGGACCAGGCCCCTGCCGTTAGCAGACCTGGGGGCCCCGTTGCCGCCGCCACACAGTTCAAACAAGCTGCCTCGGAAATTCAGGTTGCGGGACTCCTTTTTCAGTTTTTCCCAGAGGTCCGTGGCTCCCTCGTGGCAGTCCGCCAGCGCCGTGGTGGCACAGGAGTGGAAGTTATCCCAGTAACTGGCAAGAGAAAACACAGCAAGGATTACCAACACAAGCTTTGAGCCTGGAGTGGGAGGCTGCCTCCAACTGGAGGCACCAACCAGCCGGGAAGACGAGCCAACCCTCGCAGTTGTTCCAGAATCTAGCAAAGCAGAAAACAGCGTCGAAAACCTTCTGAACTCAATTTAGTTCATGTAGTCCAACAAAACTCAAGTGTGTTGGAGCATCTCAGCCATGTTTTCCATTAGTATTCAGCAAAAAGACACRTCTGAAGACCAGCATGCTGCTCAGAGACCACTCAGCCCGGGGGTCTGATGGAACCAATAAATAACTAGAATTATAAAAATATTATTGGATGATTCTGAAATGTTTAAAGTCACAGGAGGTGATGCCAGAATCCAGTTTTAAGAAATGATCTCCTTACATATATTTGGTACAAATTATTTTAATTTTTATTATTTTCTAAGCTTAGAAAGAAAGATGATCCAAAGCATCAGGCTGTAATCTACATCAGAGTCCAGTTTACCACAGTTAAATATTGTTTTATACTGGTCTCTGTGGGAGCCCACAAACAGCCCTCAAACCAGGAAGTAGTTTGTAAAATGATTGAAGAACTTTTCCTGGCTTAAAGCTCAGTGGGCGTCAGAGTCCCCCTACCAGGGGTCTCCATGGTTCTGTGAGGACTCTGGTCTCTGGTACCAGATCAGGAACCAGAGAGGACTTGTTGGAGTCTCTGCTTGGTCAGGAAAATCTGTTCTACCTGAGTCAAGGTTTGGTCCAATAAAATCTGCTGATTTTAAACAAACAATAATTCTCCAGAAACGATTAAAAATGTTAAATAAACAAAACTAAAACCATATTTCTCAGATTTCTGTTAGTTTCACAGCTTTTTGAAATTAAGTTAATTGTTGATATTTATCCAGAAATAAGTTTCATCCACTGCTGAATCTCCTCCTCTCTCCTCCTCCAGTTTTACTCTTCATCTCTCCATCTTTTGTTCTCCGTGGCAGCAGCTCACACTCCGACACAGGACCAGCGTATCTAATCCAATCAGCTCTTATTGATGTTGACCTTTGACCCCAGCCGTGTCGGGGCCACGTCTCAAAGTAATTAGCGTGTGCGTGCACATGTGTGAGGAGGGGAGTAACGCCCCCCGGCCACGCCTCAGCTCCGCTGTGATGGAGCTGTCACTGCATTAAAAAGTCATGAGGGTGTAGACGGGGGGGTCCTCATGCCATCTGGTGCCACCCGGTCTGGAGGGTGGGGGCCGTCCACATGCACCCCCCTACCTCCTCTGAACCTCCTCCCTGTGGACCGGAGGCTGAATCACTCAGAGGAGCTCAGCTCTTCTGTTAATCTAAAATTAATAAAACAAATCTTTATTTACTGAAAATAAAAGCAGCTCAGATTTTTATTTAAACGTTAAATATTTACAGCCGAGAGACAAACGTGTGGTTTTTACAGGAGACGAGTCCAAACTGCAGACAGGATTAAAAACTAAACAGCTTTATCTTTGTTTTTTTGTTTGTTTTTTTGTTTTGTTTTATTGTTTGTTTTTTTGTTTTGTTTTATTTGTTTTTGTTTTTTGTTTTAGATACTTAGTTTTGTATCTCAGCTCATTCAGATCCTGTCCACACCTGCACTCAGTTACTAATTAACACACCTGC